TTATTTCTCACTCCCTTTCTGGTCTGTACCCAGACTGCTTCTTCTTTCTGCTCCACTTACACAGAAGCATCTAAAGCTGACACAGAGTGCTAGACAAGTACTACAGAAGAAGCTGGGGTACTCTTTTTTTTGGGAGGCGAAGTTACTTTGACTGAATAGCCTTGGCATCAGAATGGTATGAAATACTTAGGCCAGATCAATAATTCTCTCCTCTGCCTTTGAAGTTTTCTGAAATCTAGATATAGGATGGACATACACTGGAGGGAACAGGGAGAATATGAAATACGTCCTAAGCAGAGGCTAGATTGAAGGTTCACACAAATGTATTTTGAGAGCATTATCACCGTGGATGTCAGCTCATTGCAAAGTTAGTTTTGACTGGTTTATGTGTCTTGCTCATCCTGACTTCTTTACTCCTCAGCCTTCTTTATTGGGATGTTGAACTCCTTTGTACATATCTTCATGTACACGTACTATGCCCTGGCAAGCCTGGGACCACAGATGCAGCGTTACCTGTGGTGGAAGCGTTATCTAACCATCATGCAGCTGGTAATCAATTCATGTATTCATCTCTGCACTTTCGCTTCTTGGTTATAGCCCCTGCTCTCTGAGTCTGTCCTTCTGTGGGGGCTCAACTCTTTCTGTTTATTTCCTGTGGAAATGATCATGTTTCTTAGGTGTCCTAATGTCACCCTATGAGAGGTGAATTGATCAGTGATGTGTTCTGAATACTACTCTCAGAAAACTACCAAGAGGCCTTCAGTGACTACATTAGCTTCCAAATAATAAACCTGATTTTGGTAATGAGAAGAAAAGAGAGGAAAAATAAAAATTATACTTCTCTCCTGTTATATGTATCAGCCTTTTCTCCACTGGAGCAGCTTGATTTTGAGATGTTGGGCAGTAACTTGGTAGAGCTTTGGGTTGTCTGTAGGGCAGGAAATCGGGCAGCTTTCATTCTGTTTCTTCAAAAAGGAAGGGCATGGCTAACTGTAGGCAAACAGAGAGGAGTTAAAGAAAATAAAGGTGTGCGTTTTATTCCCTATATGGAGAATCCCCTTGGATTTTCTTTTCCTCATCTCTGAAAAGGTCCTGACAATTCCACTCTGTATTTTTTTTTTTCAAAAATAAAGCATAAAAGCAATGTTCTAGACCAGGACAATGATTACAGTAAGCATGTGGGAGAGTTAATTCCACACAAAGAGAGATTATGGAAACAGAGTGTGTAGTTACCAAAGAAGAGAAGTAGATGTAAAATAGTAGTGCATAAAAGGCTGGCCCACAACTCTTATTTATCCTGGATGGTAAAACCCGAACAAGAAAGGGCAGCATGAAATCAAAAGATATTTGTAATGCAAAATATAGCACAGGACATCAGTTTTTATTTAATGAATTCTCAGTTTGTAGAACTCATTAATTCAGGGTATTGAGACAAGTTTAAATGAAGAAAAGCAGCATCTGTATTTCCTTTCTATAAACTAAAATATCAGTCATAGTCGTTACAGGTATAATCTGATTGCCATCTGAGGACAGGAGTCTCCCACCTTTGCTCTCCATAGTCCAAAAAGAATTGCTGGCCAGTGGCAGAGAAATGACCTAAGGTCTATGGTCTGTTCTTACATGGGAGAGGCTGAACTCCAGAACTGCTTCTCGTAGCAGTGGGCAAGGCTTAATATTTGGTGGACATATGATATCCCTTTATCTTGTGCAAAACACTGTTGGGCTCAAAAGACAAGTTTTACAAGGTGTGCAGGTGGTACTCTGGGTTGAGGACACAACTAATATGAGTGATGCTCTTCATTCTTGGCCAAATATTCAGTCTGGGTATTTCTTATGTAGGATACCTAATCTGGCTGCTTCTTTCCTTCCCCTCTTTCAGTGCCAGTTTGTGGCCATTGCTGCTCATTCTTCCTACAACCTCTTCACAGAGTGCCAGTTCCCTAATGGCTTCAACGCTGCAGTCTTCCTCTACATTCTCAGCCTTATCACTCTCTTTCTACGCTTCTATTATCGAACCTACATTAGGGGAAAACAGGAGAAGCTCACTTAAAGAAAACCAAAGAGGAGAGTGAGCATAGTTTGATGAATTTGCACATTCTCTGCTGCTTCTACCATGACTGCGTGAAGAAAATGTATTTAGAAAGAGTGTGGGAGAGTTATATGTGCAGACTCTTGGGTGCATTAAAATATTTCAAGTGAGGAAGAGAAGAGGAAATACCAAAAAACCGGGATTAGAGTATTGAGGAGCTCACTTATTTGATGCTGATGCAAATCCAAGCCAAATAGTCATCAACATAGCAGCCTTTGTGAAATTAGCCTAAAAGGATCCCCTCCTGCCCTTCCATCTGTCAGCTCAATTTGCGAGGTCTAGCATCCCACCATGACTCCGTGGCTCATTTCTTAGACTACAAAGGGTTTGTTTCCATTCATAAGTCCATCTCAGCTTATCTTCGTTGATCAGGCAAGGTCAGGTTCCTCCAGCCTGAGAGCAGTGTTCAGGTAACAGCAGAAGTCAGGAACTCACGGGGACTGCAGGATGTGCTCTATTGTTTGCTGCATCCCAGCCTTTCCTCTTAAATGCCCTCACCAGGACTAGGATGAGTTACAGCTATATAGGCCTGATGATTTCACTTTACATTAGTGTAAACAAGATGGAAACTGGACATTCTGTATGAAAAGCTGACTCTGCTCTGAAACTAAAGAGAAGGCATTATTAGTCTCTGGTCTGTCATTTTCACCCTAAGCAAGAAATTAGTGTAGTGAGAGTCATCATAGACCATTTTCTGGAACACTTATTTGTCTTTGGTTGCTCTCATAATGCTAGAGAGAAAACTTTTTATGCACAAGGATCACTTGTCATTACTGCTTTGAGATGCCACATTTTTGAACAGCCAGAATGGATTGAGCCCCATTCACAACATTCTTCTCCAATTTGTAATTACTGTTATTATTTTAATCTTTCATTAAAGGTAAAAATGATTTACACCACCGTAAGCAACCACCTTCATGACTGAATTCTACTTGTATTAATACAAAATTTACCAAGTCAGCTCCCTGGCTAGTGTAAAGCTGCATAGCTCCATTGACTTCATGATACGAGTTATTAGCACCTTTTGGCTCCTAAGTTGGTTAAAAAGTTAGAATTTGGTCCCTATGTTCATCTACAGGCACTTAAATACCCCTAAAGCTTTGATATGGTAGCACTTTTGGAAATCCTACATTTAGATTTTAAACTATAAAATAATATTTATTTATTCTATTTTTTTATTTTAAAAATACTATTACGCAGTAGTGATTTTTTTTTTTTTTTTTACAGAAAGCTCCTAAAGGAGAATTTTAGCTTTAGAATTAGTAACTTCGGGACATTGCTATTGCCAAGAGAAACTCACCTTAATTTAAACAGGCCTAACTCCTCTGGAAAGGAATTAGAGGATTGTATGTTAGCCTGTACCTAGAAAATGGGTACACCCAAAAAATTGTGTGCTTTGCACTGAGTTTGGAATTCAGTGGCTATGCAAAACAAATGCATCTTGTTCATCACTAGTCTGCATGCATATGCTATACCTTTCCCTTAGCTACTATATACACGTCTTAAGATAAACCAGTATTCCTCCATTCCTTTGCCTCCTCCCCTCAAACACATACAGAAAGGATTTGTTTGTGCTACCACAGTAATACATTATGAACGTCATTCCACTGATTTCAGTCGTCTTTTTTTTTTTTTTTTAATTTTCACTGGTAAGTATGAAAAGAGACGCACAGATTATTTTACATCTCTCTGCTAGCTCTTTTTCTTCCTGGCAAGTATTTCCTTGCCCTACCCACTAAATAAATTGTGCTGCTTTTGCATACTAGAATATTACTGTTTTTAGAGCTTTGAACAATAAACCTCTGGGTGAATCCTCCATTCTTTCCCTTTGTTTGGTGAGGCGGGAAAATAATCTGCTGTTTATCTAACACTCTACTCACATTCAAGGTTTCCCCAAAGGCTTCTCCAACACTGAACGCTTAGTGCAAGTAAAGCTATTTTATTACTTCTGTCCATTAAATGATTCACTTATGGCCCTATGATGCTTAAATCATCACTGCATTTGGCCATGCAGTTTTACGGTAGAACGTAACTCTTCCTGCAGCTGGCTAAATTATCTGTGCTTAAAAAGAAATCTAATGATTTCAGCTCATTTTCCTGTATGTGAGGTGATCATAAACAGATCTTGACCTGAGTTTTTCCTCACATAAGCTTTCTCAGTTTGTAGTTACCAATTTCAAGGGCTTCACTAATAATTTTATTCCAGAGTGATACTCAAGTATTTTAATTTTCCTTGATTTATTCATAATTCAGGACAGCTTAAAAATCAGAAATGAGTTGGAAAGTCAGATGAGATTACTCAACATCTTTGCAAATCCTTTTATTTAAATTTTTAAACATGTCAACTAGCTTTTTTTTTGAAGTAGCCCATCCAGCTAAATTTGTATCTGTGTAAGACAGTGCTAATTGTAATGGGTTCTGGACCAGGACTGGCCTCACGGATTGCAATGAAATATGAAAACTTCAAATTGCCATTTGACAACTTGTAGTGAATGACCCATCATCCACACGGTAACTACTATTTGTCCTAGTCATGTAATTCTCAGTCTACCTATCCTTGTCCCTCTTCCTCTCAGCTTGGGTTAGTGGCCTGATCTTGCACTTCTGTGCCGGCAGGAGCTTTCTGTCCTGACTGCAGTGCTCATAAGATGAAAATGAAGTATTTTCACCTGGGTGATAAAGAAGGATTAAGTCTGCCTAGAGACATCCCGCTTTGCATACACAGATGTATTTATACGAGGCATAACCATTATAAAAGCATCAATGCAAACAAAATCCACTTGTGACAGTGCTTGCAACAGTGAAGATAAAATTGCACAATTACAGCTAAGTGGCTCTGCACATCTTGATTCTCTCCTCCTTTAGACTGTATTCCTCCATCTTCATTTTTCTGATTTAGATTAGGATATCAGAGTTGGTATTTTCTGCTTGGGGCATCCTGTTGTGGCAAGAGCAAAACCCAGAGTAGAGGTATGTGCTCCTGGAATTTAAAAAAAAAAAAAAGGAAAAAAAAGGCATAGAATGAGATTTGCCCTTTAAGATCAAGTGCCTAGAGTTACAGATTACATCACAGAAATGTACTGTAAGTCAAAAGGCCTAGAAATTATAAATTGCAAGTTCGGACGATTCATGCTGTTTGGCAGAGACCAAAGCTTTGAGCTGAAAATATCCTGTGGCAATTGCTCTGGGCCAAATGCTGATGCCACCAGTATCCATGACAAAGTCTTCAGATTTTACTGGAAACAAGATGGCACAGCCGCATGCAAAAAAAGATGCATTTAGCTACATGGCCTGGTTTGTGTGGCAGGAGACCTGGGTGTTATTCAAGCTCAACAGATGACTTTTAAGAGAATAGCTGTGTGCAAGTCTCCCCCTCAAAAAATGTGGGTCGTTACACCTTCTTAGAGCACTTTGCATTCACAGGACGTCAAGCATAATGTAAGTAGTCTATTTGAATGAATAGGCTTGATTTCTGGTAGTGCGCAGCATCTTTCCTACTGTTCAAGTCAGTGTTAGTTATGGATGTTATGAGACCAAATTATCTTCGAATAAACCAGAACATTTACTCACTACTTACTTTCTCTCTTAAGATATATGAGAGGAATTCTTATTTTAACCAAAACAAAATACAGAAGATAAAATCAATTATTATTTGATGTCCCCCCTCCCCCCACCATCAGTGCATGACGGAAAGTTTCCAGAGGAACTCAGGCTTATAATTGCAAAGCCATATAAAATACTGGAACATGACTGGGTTTAGCTATTGGATTTTTTTGGATACTACCAGAAAATATGGCATAATTTTAAAAAGGCAGAATGACTCTAAACAATTAATTAAGCAAAAACAGGATGCAGTAGGTTGCTATGTAAAAATAAACAAAAATCTGCTGATACAGATGTAAAACACCTCCAAACCAAACATTAAAATAGATCAGCCAACAGTATAAATAGAACAGTGTGAATTTGCTGAATTCATTAATGAATCACTTCATGAATTAGGCCTTGATAGATGGAGTGCTCACATCCAGATGTTTACTGTGATTTGTCAATGGCCTTGCACTTAATCCTCCTGGACAGGAAATAAGAGTCTTTGCTCTAGGATCTCCCTCAGGGACTGCGGCAGACTCTCTTGCTCGCTCATGCTCTGGCCTGAATCATCATAATGCAGGATCAGGCTGCTGGAGAATTAACAAAGTGGAAGGGGAACAGATTGGCCTTTAACCCCTTCAGGTCCTTTTCCGCTTCAAATGGCTTTCTCACCCTCTGCCAGGGTGGGGGTGCTATTTAGCCAGTGCCTGGAGAAGACAGAGAGGCATGACACGTAGCCTCCCAGGATGCACATTTGTGGGGTCCCCGTCCCCACAACCTTCTAGTCTCACCTACTAGTCTCTAGTCCTGGGGGCAGAGCAAGCCCCTAGAGGTTAGTGGATGTCTCACCACATCTCAGCATCGTATGTTTATTTTCATGATGCTGCAACTCCACAGCAGCTGTCAGTGATAGGGCTGGCCCAGGAGGGAGTATTTGTGAAAAGATGAAGTGTCCCTAAGGTGCCCTTAGTCAAGTATACAAGAGCATCTGTAGTGTGCATGCGTGAGTATGGGTAGATGAATGCAAAGTCTCTGCAGACTACCTCAGTTTCTCACTTCACAACATGTGAGACCCCCACACAGGATGTGTAACTCGTTTGGTAAGAAGGTCAAGGCCTGGTGTGTAGGAGTGCGCCCCACTGAACAGCAACCATACACACCACTACCACTCCTGCTGCGTAAGGCCATCCATAGGTGCTACTCATCGGCTCATCATGGCCTGGATCAGCCAGTTACATCCACCCCAGCACCTCAGCACAGGGAGAGGCTGCTGTGCAATGCTGGAAATGCATCACAGCTAGGCTGGCTGTTGAGGGAGCGAAAGATGGGAGACAGTGGCAGAAGTTTCATGTGGTGCACGTGATTTCATAAGTCTGACTATGGGGTTGTATTATTTAAGTCTCTGGCACGATATTGTAAGGGGCATGAGGGTGTGGTCCTTCTTTTCTCCTGGTGGAGGGGTTGGTAAGTTAGTGTTGGGGATGCAGATCTGCCTTCATGGAAGGATAGAGGCTTGCTAGTTTGAACAGAGTTTCTTCTTCTGCAAAGCATTACTCTTATGTAAGCCTCACACAGGCAAAAGCTGGTAAAATGAGGTATCATCTCAGACGAATCACATTCAGGCAGCCTCTTGATGCTGCCTAAGAAACTAGGGCAGTCCCATTTACTAGCCCCCCATCCAGCCACAGGAAACCCTCAAATGAGGTTGCAGGATAAGCCACCATTGATGCTGTGAGGAACCAATAGGGGGGAGGGGGGAAGAAAGAAAAAAAAAAAACTCTTCCAGAGGGGATAGCAATAGACATGATGACTGGATTAGAAAAACTGACAGATTTGGATAGAAGCAGGAGCTGGAAAGAATGGTAAATTTTAGCATGGATGTGCTGGAGTGTATGAAACCCCAGGGAGCCCCTGGTTAAGACATTAATAGTGCATCACAGCACTTGCAGCGTCACACTATTCTGCATGCTCTCCTTTCTCTCCAGTATTTTGGCTTTCTGCCGGTAGCACTGCTCTTCAAGAAAGTGTTCAGAGTCATTTCACCACACACGAAAAATCAGAGATGCTACATAACAATTGAACTTTGAACTTCCCTACTTAGAGGAGAGTTTTCTTCCTCTTTAATATCACCCTCCCACCTTCTCTTGACCCTTCCTCTCCTCTTTCCTTGCACACACTTACACAGATACCCTGTCCTAAATTCTCCATGTTGCTAGAGCTGTAGAGGAAGTAGTAGTTTTCTGTTCAAATACTATACAGAGCAGCTGTATTTTACGGCTACATCAATAAATAATGCACATTTTCTTCATTGAGTTTTCAATGAGGTTTTCATAGAGATGAATGTGAGTGAGTCTGTCTCTTAGCACTTTAGCACAATCCCATCTGCCTGTAGATTCAGGATGTGAAACACCGTCCTATAACATTGAGAAAGCAAACTACAAACTTGTTTTTCATCAAGTGAGAATTTAAATTCAGTATCATCTCTTCCAGGCATTCAAGAAGTGCTGCGCTACAGAGTGTAACAGAATGTGGCTTCTCTCCCTGTTGTTGATGAAGGAATGATGGGGGTGGGAAGAAGGGTGTATATGTTCAAATATGTGCAGGAACAGCAAGCTGAATGAAAAAACGTAGAGGTGAGCGAGCAGGCACAGGAGCTGGCGCGTTTCGTGCTGTGTTACTGGCTATATTAATGTGCAGATGAGAGCACAGTTGCATGTCTCTGGTACGAAAGAGTGCAACCAGCCCTGTGAAAGGGAAATGCTCATGGAGCAGGCTCTGACAGTGAACACAGTGCTGGCTGGACACCAGAGTTCCTGGTGTGCAATTTATTAATTCTGGACTGGCACTACCTCCGTGAGGTCTATGTGAACATGTCCAGGGATGTTTCCTCTTGAAATGAATGATTATTCAAGGCAAGGCTTGGAGGGAGAATATATTGCTTTAGACCAGCTGATAGAGCTGGAAAAAAAGACTAATTTTCCAGTATGCAAGTCCTTCCTCAGGTTATTATCCCTGAGATGCATTGATAACAACAGATCAGCTGTTATTGGTAGGGGTGCACAGGTGTCTGTGTTTACTATTAGTTTGCCATTCCCTAAGGATATTATACTATATCTTGCAGGTTTGATATACTACCCTGTTAAATAACTGCTCCTGTAAATCAAACGGCCATTGTTTTCAAAGGGCTGCTCTAGAAAACACACCTGCAATTTTGCATCTAGGAATTACTCCTGTGAGTAAAGCGGCTCCTGTATTCACCTGCACAGCTACGTAACAAGTCAGTGGTTCTGTGCTCAGCTATCAGAGGGAAATTATAGAACATGACCATGTCACTAGGAAATCCTCACTTATGACTTCTCCCATCAATTACTTTTTTTTTTTTATATGTGGCAATGTTTTTAATATTCTTGGGCATATTTCATACACAGAAGTAATATCTTACATTAGGTGAAAACCCATTAATACCTGTGAATCTAGGTAAACTCAGTAAGAATGTCACTGCAGTGATGCCAGCTGGAAGGCAAAATGGTTTTCCACTTAATTTTATATATTTTACACTAGTTTTTGTTAGAAACCTAAAAACTCCAATGGAATACATGTGTCTATAGGTTTTAATCCTATAGTATTTGTATTTGTATGTATTATATTTCCCTGCAGACTAGAATAGATGAGCTCATGATGTGGATATAGAAAACAAATAAGATCTTAGCATTGATTGTATTACTGATCTGTTACTAAAGTGATCATGTAAAGCTGGTTCGAGCCCTTTTCTCTAATAAAATGCACACCTATTGAAATTTATCAGCTTTGGATGTGGATTTAAGAGCGCATCGAAGTGAATGCATGCTCCTGGGTTGCATACGCTAAAACGCTAGGCAGGAAAACGCTAGGCAGGAAGGTGGCCTGGCTCATGTCTTTCACTGGCTTTGGAAGCTGCTTTTGGGGCTGCACCACAATCACAATAAGCTTGCGAGGAAAAGCAAAGCAAAGCAAACTGACGTCCCTCTAAACCCTTTCTTTGTTGTGATTATATGGCGCGGGGAGGGGGAACCAAGAGGCTCAGGGAACCCCCGAGGCTTTCACTGGCCCGATTACGATTGTCATTACCGGTAAGTGTGTGTGTGTGTGGGGGGGGTGAT